AAAAAAAAAAAGAAAAAGAAAGAAAAAAGAAGGAAAAAGAAATTGGCTAGTAACATGATTGTTAAATTTGTTAACCATATCCTAGAAATGAATAGTGCATGTTTTGGTGGGGTTTCAAGGAGGGGTAGGGTATCTTGTCTATGGGGCGGGGACAGGTCGGTGGTCACTTCTTATTACGGGTGTTGGTGGTGGTCTTCTATGTACATAAACCAAACCATCTTAGTCTACTTTCTCTCATTTTTTCACCTATTAGAGCTACTCCTAGGTTATTTCCAATAACTTCATTTGACCATATCCTCTCTAGTTTTTCCATTCATCCATCTTAGCATACACATTTCTACTACACTCATTTTTTGGCCATGTTATTTTTTGACTGCCTAACATTTTGTTTTGTACAACATAGCTAGCCTTATAACTGTTTTATAAGCTTAGGTTGGTCCAATGACTTTTTCGGATAGTCACGGTGAAGAGAGAGAAAGGTCAATTTTTCTTTCATCTCCCTTTTGTCTTTTTGTTTCATGGATGTTGGAGGTGACAATCTTAACACTTGGATAAAATTCTACTTGTACTTGGGAAAAGTTTAAAACGTGATGTTCTTGCATGTTATATTGTCCTCCATATGTATAAAGTTACAAAAAAAGTTGCTAAACCTAGCTTTCATGAAAGTTTCATGCAATAGCAACCACCAAGGCTTAGTATTAAACACATTAGACAAATATGGGGGCAAATTTATGTCCATAAATAATTGTTTCACTTTAGACATATCTTGACTACCTTGCATTCAAATGAAAACCTGCTTTTTCTCATCCAAGTGGACTGATCTAGCATACTGACAAGAGGCCATCTCAATCAAGAGTAAGAACTTTGCACCAGAAAAATATCTCAAGGAAAATCCTGATGTTATATAGTTGTTCTCTTGCTCCAATTTTATGTTTATGCAGTAAGAAATTCCCTAGAATTCTAAATTTTCAACAAGAATAATAATCCAAACTCCATCTAGAACTTGGTCATAGTGTTATACTTGTATATCCAAATAATACATATATTTCTAAATTATGATTGAAAAATATACTTGCAACTTATGAAATTTCTTGTCAATCTATAAAGGACATATAGTGGATTAGGAATCCCTAGATCTATAATGGAAGAAGTACTCTCTTTGGATGATGGTAGATTGTTGCAGCTCCTTGAGGAGCCACGTTCTTTAATGATGACATGATGGAAGATAAATAATATTAGGCAACCCACTCCTCCTGTTCTTGCTCATGTGCAATAGGATTTTCTTTCAATCTCTTCTTCAAAGGTTACTAATCCAAGACTTAGGCCGGCAAAACCTTTATAGGATGAGATACCCAACTCTAATTCAATGATAGAAGCAATTTTTGTATCAGGTACACATGCATCATACACCAACATCTGGATTTTGTAATTTTGTTTGAGGAAAGTGGGTTGACACAATATTCCAAATGAGTGATCTATGATGCATTTATAACCATAAAGGGCAAGGGGCTGGGGCTAGTTTTTTTTATTGGGAATGGTAACTTCATTAATACAACTTAAGCACAACTTTTCAAAGTTAATAACAATTGTTAACCCCTAAATAGGTGTTGAGTCCTCAATAATCTTTCGTATAATACTGCCCAAAAGATTATCTCCCTCTTCATCCCTTGTTTAGTCAATGTGTCAATTAAGCCATTAACTGGTCTCCTTGTCAATTTGGAGTCCACACTGATCTCCCTTGTTGTGTTGAGGATTTCCCTTATGGGATGTCTATAAATCCAGTCTCCCAACTTACTAGGTTGCAGCCACTCAATCAACAATTTAGAGTCTCCCTCTATCTCAATTTGGTGTAACTACAACTATTTGGCATATCTTACACCTTGAAGTAAGGCCATCACCTACGCTCTCAACGAGTCCCCCACTCCTATACTTGAAGGGCCCAGGTTACCTTTAGAACTCCTGTCAAAGTTTAGTTTCACTATTTATTATGTTGGTGGGGACCACAATTCTTGCACAGTAGGTTTTATGGAATTTGTAGATGCCACCACTTCCTAATTCCCATAAATGTCTTTAGCTAAGAAGTCTTTAAACAAAGCTATAGTTTTCAACCATTGATTAGTCATAATGATTATTCTTTCTACAATTTCCTCATTGGATTTTTCCACTCCTTTAAAGATCCTATTGGTCCTTTCTTCCCAAGCTGACTACAAGATGGCTACTCTTGTGGATCTCCACATTAATCTTCCACGTCTCTTTGCTTGCTTGAAAAGCTTGGGTAAAAAAGGCTTACCACATATAGGGGAGGTGTCCACCTACAACCAAAGATAGAAGCGAACCAAGCTCAAATAAAGCACACAAATGGACAAGAAATTAATAGGTATGTGGTTATCTCACGAGGGTCCAAGAAAAGGCTACAAAAATGAAGTGATAGGCATAAATTTGGCATTTTTCTTTGCAACTTATCTAGAGTATTGTTTTTTTGGAGAACCAACTCCCAACAAAAAGCTCAAATTTTTAGGGGTACCGATACCAAACCTCCTTCAAAGAAAAGCTCCTTGTGGGGTTTGTTGTCTTAATGAGGACATTAAAGGAAGAATAAGTGAACACACTAGATGGGGAAGGTTTCCAAATTCTATTTTCCAAACAAGATTGATCCAGATCGGTTGACCCTAAAAGGTCAACTAATTCATTCACCATTGCCATCTTTGACTCCCTTAGACGTCTCCTAAGATCCAAGTCTCAAGAATTATCAATAAAAACTGAAGATATCACTTTTCTTTTATTTTCTAACAGTGAATAGAAGGCAACTTTTCACCAAGGAGAATGTCTCCAACCCAAACATCTTCCCAAAACAACACTTTATTTCCTGCATAAACATCCAATTTGAAGTAATGAAAGATGGCAGGCAAAATACCATAATTAGCTTTCTAAGGAGAACATTGATAAGCCATAGGGTTGATTCCTACATTCCAACCATTGTCTGTCAATCCATGAATACTAATAATCACTCTATGCCAAAGTTTGTCATGTTCCAACAACAATTTTATAACCATTTCCCCAATAATGTTGTGTTTCTTATCCTAATATCTCTTATTCCTAGGTCCTCTTATCTATACTTTTAGATACCACCTCCCACTTTCTTAGGTGGTCTTTTTTGATGTCTCTTGGTTCCTAAAGGAAGTCTCTCATAATCTTCTCTAGTTGGTTTGACAATTTCATCGATATCCTATAGGTAGATAGGAAGTATATTGGCAAGTTAGCCAAAGTTGACTTTATTAGGGTTATCTTACCTCCCAAAGAAATGTAGTTTATTTTTCATTTCTAAAATCTCTTTGTAAAATTTTCAGTCAATAGATACCAAAAAACTATCTATATTTGGATTTCCGCCCAATGATAGTCCCAAATATTGCAATGGACAATCCCCTACTCCACATCCAAACAGTCCGGCTAGTAGAATCACCTATTCACTCCCTAAATTTACTCCTACCACACAACTCTTGTATTAATTAATCTTGAAGCTTGAGATCCTTTCAAATTTACGGATTATCCCTTTTAGGTTCATAAATTCCTAAATTTCATTGTTATTATACTTCTCATGCATCTCTCGTATAGTCTCCTTTATGAGTTGTCTATTGAGGATTTATAAAGCCTTTTAATTTGCAGATGATATTGTCCTATTTTGTGAATGAAAAGCAGAACCACAAATATTGTCTCCCTAATAAGTTTAAGGGGTCAGAGATTGAAAGAAGAGCAAAGAGAATCGTAAATGAGTTGTTCTAAGGTAAAATTTATTTTAGGGTTATTTTAGTAACATTTTATGTAAAATCATTTATAAAAGGGTAAAATGGATATTTTGAAAAAATGAATTCATCGGTCAAACATTTTTCATACGGATTAGCGATGGAAGGGAAGTATGCGTTGGCTTTTTCAAAAGTTTAGGGGAGATTTTTTGATAAAATGAAACTTTAAGGAATTTTTTTATCATTATCAGAAACTTGAGGGGAGATTTCTATATTTTTGAATGACCTCCCGCGCTGGCTGCACAGGCAAGAGGCCATGGGGTGTAATACTGTAATTCCAGGAGGAATATGAAACGAAAGAACCCTTCGTGATTTTCTGGAAAAAAATCGCCTTTCCTAAATTCTTCCCCACTCTCTCTAAACACTAGTCTATCACTCCATCTCTCTCCTCTGCATCAGTTCTCCCCTATCTTCTTTTTCCATCTCCGTCCGGCGAAACGACGCCGGGACCGGCGTCAAGCGCATATTGGAAATGCGGGTCTCTGAAGCAGTTATGATTATCTCTGACGAACCAAAGATGGTTGAATTTTCAAGGTCTTGAACACACTTTGAGGTAAAAAGCTTCAATTTTCTACAACTGTTAGATAACATAGATCAAGCATTTAGCTAATCTGTAAGTATTCGTCCCAAATTCATGGCGATCCGTTCTATATGTCGATGTCTGTTGATCTCATACCATTTAAAAAATCCAAGATTTTTGGTTGCCCAGGCTCGTCCGTTTGCCAGTTCTTTGGCTGCAGAGAATTACTGGAATCTCTTGCAAAGTAATACTCCTGGGTTGAACTTAGAGCGGAGCCTAGTTAAAATTAGAGCAAAATTGGATTCTTCATGCGTGGAAGATGTCTTACGGAGATGTTCAGTGGATCATCCTACCTTGGGCCTTAGGTTCTTTGTCTGGGCTGGTCTTCAATCGGATTACAGACACAGCTCATTCATGTATAGGAAAGCTTGTGAATTGTTCGAGATCCATGGTAGGTCGCAAAGCCTATATGATGTACTAGAGTGTTATAGAAAGGAAGGTTCCTTTGTTTCTGTTAAGTTATTTAAAGTAATTTTGAATCTCTGTAGAGAGGCTAATATTGCAGAGGAGGCTTTAAGGGTATTGAGGAAGATGGGGGAGTTCAATTGCCGTCCCGATACTGCTTGCTATAATATTGTCATACGGCTCTTCTGTGAAAAGTGTGACATGGATGTTGCAATGGAACTAATGAATGAGATGGCTTTTGTTGATATTTATCCAGATATGGTCACATATGTTGAGATGATCAAGGGGTTCTGTAGTGCACAACGGGTGGAGGATGCCTGTGGTCTGTTCAGGGTAATGCGTGGTCATGGCTGTTTTCCAAATGTCGTGGCTTATTCTGCATTGCTTGATGGCATTTGTAAAATTGGAAACCTGGAGAGAACATTTGAGTTATTGGAGGAGATGGAAAAGGTCGGCGGTGATTGCTTGCCAAATGTTGTCACTTACACATCTGTAATTCAGAGTTTTTGTCAGAATGGTAGGTCAATTGAGGCAATGGGGGTTATAGATCGAATGAAAACCCATGGCTGTTATCCAAATCGCATTACACTCAGTATATTGGTTACAGGACTTTGCAAAGGAGGCCATATAGAAGAGGCTTATAAGCTGATTGATAAAATTATTGCGGAAGGTGGTGTTTCTTGTGACACAGGCTATAGTTCTCTTGTGGTGTCTTTGTTGCGGATTAAAAATATAGTGGAAGCAGAGAAGGTGTTTAGGAGGATGTTAGCAAGTGGGTTGAAGCCTGATGGATTGGCATGCAACTCTTTGATGAAGGAACTATGTTTGTTGGGGCGGTCCTTGGATTGTTTTGGTTTCCATCAGGAAATGGAAAAGAAAGATTACTTATCTCCTCTTGATTCTGATACTTATTCCATCCTTTTAATGGGTCTTTGTCGAGAAGGTCATTTGGTGGAAGCTACAGAGTTGGTTGGTGCAATGGTGGAGAAGAAGGTCCAATTAAAGGGCCCCTATATTGGTGATATAGTTGAACTCCTTAAGAAATCTGGACAAAGGGAGCTAGCTTTACATGTTGCAAGCATCCGAGGGTAATGATGACATGAGAAAGGAAATATTGATTAATACAAGAGACCTTGCTTGTATGAGTAGAGTTTCAACTTTCAAAGTCTCTAGAGGAATGGAAAAACTCCTGCATTTGGAACATATTGGATTTCATTTTTTTTTATTTAAACTACAAATAAACACCATTTATACAAAAGATAAACTACAACAACTCTTTCTCTTCTCATTTCTCACACATGTGGTTATTTATTTTTAAATTGAATTAAAAATATAAGAAGTCAAGTCACAATAAACACTCTCATAGTTCTTGATTTTCTCTAATAAATTCCATTATTACTTTCTCTAATAACATCATTCCTAAAGCTCTCTCTCTCTCTCTAATAGTAATTAAGAAGGGGTACAAATTAGATGGGTTGGGTCAGGTTAAAGGCCAAACCCAAGACCAACCATAAATATGGACTCTGTCATGGATCCAATCATCCAAGCTGATGTCATACCCAAATGTGCCAGTCCAAACCTAACCAAATCTCCATTCAACCCATGCTTTTCATGGGTTTACTTGCTAGTCACTAATGGGCATACCAATATAACTCGGTTGTGTTGAAAGCAAGCCTCAGACAGTAAGTCCAATATGAGTTATGCCGACTTGTGCCAACATGTTTATTGGCAGTTGGTGTACGTGTGGTTGTTACGTTTCCCCCCCTTCAACAGATCCAGTCTCCATGCAAATCATATGAAAAGCAAGCATCTCTATTTGTTTAAGCTGTTCAAGAGATGACTGCAATTAGAGTATCCATCATATAAAGATGAATAATGTGGATATGCTGTGTTTGTTTTTGTTTTATTCAATTAACACTCTTGCAAACAGGTAGCTTTTGTTTATGGCACCTCTGAGTTGAAGCAATTTTGTTGCTACTGCTTGAAGCAAATATTTTTTGCCTTCATAGTTTTTCCCTATTTCAACTTTATTGTTCTCATAATCAATAAAAGATTTTCATTATATTATTCAGAAGTTGAGAAATAAATTAAATGGGTGGAAAGCACAAGTTTTATGTCATGCAGATAGATCAATTTTATAAATCCACTCTCCTGTCTTGCCTAATTTTCATGTCTACCAAGCTATTGCCTTCTACCACTTGTATTACTTTTAATAAAATAATGTTATTTGTTAAAATGATTTTTTTGGGGATCTTTTTGTGAATTCTAATGTATAGTTCCTGGCTGTACATGTTTGATCTGTTGACACACTTGTAATCTGTGCTTACAGTATACATTAATACAAATCTTTAATTTACCTTCTCTCAAAAAATAATTAAAATGAATTTAGAAGGAATTTGTATACATATGAATGTAAAATGCGGATGCTATTACAATTTTTGTTTGCTTTCCTTTTATGTGAGACTATTATAATGCACCTTTTTTTGTTATTTTATGCTCATTGAAATGCTTTGTTTTACTTCCATTTCTCCTGCTATTACTGCCATCAGCACCAAGAATGATTAACTTATCCATGGTAAGACCTATTCATCAAAGTAGTGGTAATTAACTCCAAGAATCACATAAACTTTCATTTGATTTGAAAGTCTATAACAACGGACGATTCTTCCAAATTTTCATGACACAAAGTATGAATATTTTGGAAAGATGATGTGGGAGAAAAAAATTGTAGTTTCAGGATTGTGGACCTCAGTCCATAAATTAATGCCAACCGGTTTCAAGATGGTCATTTGTTTCCTCTAGAAGCTTAGAAATTTATTTTCCATGATCAGGAAAGATTGCGTAAGAAATACATTCTACATTGTTGATTTAGCCAAGAACTAAAAACTAAACAACATTGAGACATCATACTAAAGGGCCATACCCTATGATGGTTTTGGGAGGGGTACACTGGATACACATAACCTTTGGCATTTTTTTCACTAACTGGTTTCTCTCATACTTGACTCAATATTCTGAAAAATGCCATAATGGCCTTGGTAACAGAAGTAAACCTTTTTTTTTTTTT